CATAAATAGGAAAATAATTATTTCTGATCAGAAAAGTGATCCAGAGTTGAAAGATCTGAATGGCTGCTGTAGGCAGGGAGGAAGCTGATGACTTGCCTGTTTGTTATTATTCGGACTCTGGCCTCCTCTTGGGGAAATTTAGACCACCTTTGGTGCCTGCTGGGGAAGACTGGCTTGTTAATAAGCAGATGCTCTACTACTACAAGGAAGCACTTGTGTGTGTTTTGGAGACCCAGGAGCCACAGGAACAAGAGCAAGATTTTCTGGTAGAGGCTCCAGTTAAGCTATGCAGTTCACAGCTGATCCCTCTTCTAAAGTTTTAAATCTTTTACAGCTACAGGTTGAAGATATCACAAGGATGTTACAGGAATACAAGCACCTGTTTGGGGACGTGCCACAGGCCTGTAACCTCATAGAACACAAGGTGACCCTTCTACCAGAGACGACCTCTATCAAGCAAGCGCCCTTAGGACCAGCCCTGCTAAGAGGAAGATTCTGAGGGAAGAAGTGGACTATTTGTTTCAACACGAACTCATCGAACCAAGCAATAGTGACTGGGCGTCACCATGAGTACTGGTGCCAAAACATGAAGGCTCCTTCTGCATATGTACGGACGGGTAAATGATGTGACCAGGGCTGACTCCTACTCTTTCCCTCGTATAGACGACATCCTTGACAGCATCATTCAGGCAAAGTTCAGCACGAAGCTCGACCTGATGATGGGATATTATCAAGTGAAGCTGACGGAGGAATCCAAGAGGATAATGCCCAGAATTTTAAACACCCTCTTCGTTTGAAGAGGGCCATCGTTTTTCAACCCAAGTTTTAAAAAAAAATAGTGTCCCAAAGGATAGCGCATTACAGTACTTGACGGGGTGGTGTGGCAGTAAAATGAACCAATTCCAATAAAATCAATTTATAATATTGGAATTAGTTAATTTTACCAGCACACCACCCCGTCAAGTACTGTACTGTGGTGTCCTTTGGAACTCATTTTTTTTTAAACTCGGGTTGAAACACGACAACCCTCTTCAAAAGAAGAGGGTGTTTAAAACTCCAGGCGCTACTGCCTTCGTCACTCCTGATGGGTTTTGGCAGTACAAAGTCCTCCCCTTTGTGCCTCACAGTGCCCCTGGAACATTCCAGAGGGATATGAATGTGGTGAAGTCTGGGCTTCCTGGTGTCTGTGCCTACTTGGATGACCTGCTAGTGATGGGAGTTACCTGGGAGGAGCACACGGAGCGACTTTGTGCCCTTTTCACCCGCCTTTCTGAGTACAACTTCAGTGTCAACCTGGCTAAAAGAAAGTTTGGCCATGCAACGCTCACCTACCTTGGCCATGTGGTGGGCCAAAGGAGGGTGGATCCAATCAATGCAAAGATAGAGGCTCTACAGTGACTCTCGCCTCCTGCAGATCGAAAAGCTCTGTGTAGGTTCCTCGGTATGGCAGGATTCTACCGAAGGTTTTGTAAGAACTTTGTGCAAGTTTCAGCTCCTTTGACAGACTTAGTCAGCCCAAAAGAACGTATTTGTGGACAAAAGTGTGTCAGGCTGCATTTGAAACCCTTAAACACCTATTAACCTCAAGTCCAGTGTTAAAAGTGCCAGATTTTGACAAGGCTTTTGTGATCCAAGTTAATGCCTGTGATGTGGGTACTGTGTTGTTACAGTTTGAAAAAGGTATACGACACCCAGTTTGCTTCCACAGTGTGAAACTAAAACCGTATCAGCGTGGTTATGCCACCATAGAAAAGGAGGCTTTGGGGCTTTTGTTGGCCTTAAAAAAGTTTGCAGTGTATGTTGATGGTTCACCATATACCGTAGAGGTATACACAGATAATAATCCTTTACAATTTGTACAGCCCTTCAATATAAAAGTGAAACATATTAAAGGGAAAGACAATCTTTTGGCAGACACCCTGTCCTTTGATGTATAAAAGTTTTCCCCATTTGTTCTTAAACTTTTTACATAAGGAGGAGGAATGTTACGAGTGTTCGCCATAAGTTTCTGTTCTTGGTATGAAATACGTTGGTTCGGATGATGTGTGGTTGGCAAGAGCAGTTTTGCTTATTACTCGCCCACACTGACTGAGCCATCATTTACATATTAAATTTGTTTTATTACATTGTATATTTATTGTATTGTTTCATTGTATTAGGTTTGTATATAGGTTAGATAAGTGGAACTAACGTCAGTAGGGTAATTTAGGTAATGTTTACATTTTGGCCAATCTGGATACGATACGTCAGCATTTGGTGGTAGAGAGGTGACGTCGGTGGCCTACTGGTACACCTTAGTCAGTCTAGGCACTGCTGTCTTAAGTTAAGTAGTATCCTCTCCCTGGTGCTTTGGGAATTGGCATTTGACTATTGAAATTTGTTATTGCTTGATATTGATTCTGTGTGATCTTGTTGGACCTTTAGTCCATACTCAACCACTTCCAAACATCTTCCTTTAGTATTATTGTTATTCATTTTATTTTGTGTTTATATGTGGTGGTGGGAATAAGTTAATAAATGTTCATATTTTATTGACTTGCTTTGGTTTTGACCTGTTAACTTGATCTTTGCTGGAGAACTTGGGATTAATCATATAATGATATATAAGAAAGACTTAAGTGATTTGTTTTTTTGTAATGATCTATCCTAGGGTCGTAACATTGTATCATTTATTGGGGGAGGGGGGGGGAGGGCATAGGTTGAGTGTTCCTGTTCTGAAAAGAATTGGTGATACTCCAGGATTTCTTACTGTTTGGCCAATGTTGACTCAAGCTTATTTGCATAATGGTTACGTCTGGCATTTCTAACTGCTTGAGTTACTTTATTTTTGATACTTCAGCAAGCATCATCGAAAGTTATGGGTCTTTTTCCAAATTTTCTTTGGAGTTTGTGTTTTACTTTTATCATTGCCTTGATTTCACTTGTCATATAGGGTTTGGGGATAGATACAGTTTTTACTAACTTAGTCTTGAACAGGAAGCATTTATCAAAGCAAACATTGAAGATGTAAGAGAAGTTGTAGCAGATCACTTTAGGGGTTATCGAGCCATAAATAAGGTCCCACTTAGCATTCATTAAGTTGTTTTAAAAAAGGACCATGTTGTCGGCGCAGTTGTCTCTGATTTTTATTGTGACTTTACCAGACCTTTCAGATCTTGTGGCTGTTTTATACATGGCAAAAACTGGGAAGTAATCTGAGATATTGTTATAAATAATTCCACTTGCAAGATTGTTAGGAGTGTTGCTAGTCGAAATATGATCTATCACAGTGGCAGAAGTGGCAGTTACTTTGGTGGGTTTGGTTATAGTGTTGAAGAAGAACTTAAAATGACAGGTAGCAAGATGGTCTATTATTGAGGTGTCCAACTTGGATTTTAGTAGATCATGGTTGAAATCTCCTGTAATGTAGCAAATTTTCCTCTTTGAACTTATGATAGATATACGCTCCGATAATTTATCAAGAAAGTTCCTTACATCAGTGTGGGGTCTTCTGTAGATTACTACGACTAGGATATTTCGCGTGTCGTCGCGTAATTCAGTGAAAACTCCCCTGAAGCCTTAAATCATCTCTTACAGCAATGTTATACATAATATCAACAGCTAGTGCGATGCCACCACTGTGTCGTGACGTATTGATGCAGTGTCAAGCGTAAATAAGGACGTTATACAAATATTCAATATAATTAGTGAGTTTGGTCTCACAGAACCCAAGTACATCAAATTTGTGGGCAATAGAAGATATACATTGACCTAAAAAGGCATCTAAGTGATGTGGGATTACTGCTGATGTTATGGCTAATCAAGGAGAAGGAATGAGAAAGTAGAAGACTAGAGCTAAACTGAGGAGACTCAGGAAAGTATTAGTTACAATTGGGGTTGGTGTATGGTGTAACCCAGTGAATTTTGTAGAAAGGCATCAGGATCAGTATGAGAAAGTATTGTGCTGACACCATGGGTGAATGGGGTGTAACACATCCGGCCAGTACATCTTAAGGGAATGACATTAGAATCATCTCTGTAGGAATATTGGTATTGATTAAGGAGCAGCAAAAACTAGGGTAACTGAGGTGTGAAAAGGGAAGGTCAAAGAAAATTATAATAGTGGGGGTAACGTACTCACAAGTGCTGCAACCAACAGAATTAAGATGATTGGTGCTGGAGAGGGTGACTCCTAGTCACTTGGTCAGGTGGGCTGTTGTTTCCCACCGTAGAGGGTGGATGTGTTGTACCCGAGTTGGCTGGCAGGGGAGGGGGGGAAATCTCCACAGAGTGTGGACTGGTTCTGTCTCCGTGGGGAGGGGGTTCATGTGGTTCTTGGGAAGGGTGGTACAGTGGGTGGGTGAGTGGGGGGTATCCACTTGCCCGAGAGTCCTTCAAAACAAGGACTTTATGACTGAATAACACATGTTTCCTTTGTTTCCTGGCTTCTTTAAACTTGTCCATTTGCAATTGGTGGGCTTTAGTCGTACCTGGGCAAAGGTCTTCATTGATGAAGACAGTAGTGCCTTTCAGCTTACTGCACTGATAAAAGACTTTGTCACGGCCAGAAGGGAAGAGAACGTTATTATGATGTATCTGGGGTGGGAGGAGTTGGATTTCCCGACCATTGAACATGGTCAAACTTGATTTCAGTAAGTTTAAAATTCTTAGAGAAAAATTTCTAGGTTACATGGGGAACAATATTAATTTATTTAATAATTTTATGCGGTCATAGGCTAAACGAATGAAAGGTCATATAATTTTAAGATGTGGTTTGATATGGGATAGGTATGTTGACCTAGCTTGTGAGTGATGACTTCTTTCATCAACATTTATTAGGTAATCGCCAACCTTTGAAAATGGAATGAAATATATGTTAAAGTCTCTGTCTCTCCTGTTATTTAATAATTTATCTCTTGGTGTTATCTCCCGTCCTTATGTTTCCTTTTTATTTCTTATGTACATCTCCCCTCCTTACCATGACTCCAGTTGCCCACCGCTAAAAGTCGTATCTCTTGCAGGATGGCACGTCACATCCTGCCTTTGGTGCTGCTAGTGGTGGCTCTGGTGGTGAGACTCATCCTGTCAGCGCCCATAGACGAGGACGTGGAAGTCAACAGTGTGAGTTTCCAGAAAAACTGTACTGGTATATTTAGCAAGAGTAATACTGGTCAATACTAATAATAATAATAATAAATAATAATAATAATAATAATAATAATAATAATAATAATAATAATAATAATAATAATAATAATAATAATAATAATAATAATAATAATAAGAGAGATAAATACTGTAGACTATTTTTACGGTAATAACTAACCGTTCCCTTTCAGCCTCTCTCTCTCCCACTTTTGTAAACCAATCTCACTCCAAAAACTAAGAAAAATTTTTTTTTTTGTCTTTTGGTTTGAATAAGTGACCGTTCTCTCTCTCTCCTTTACAGATCCACCACTCGTTTGATAGTGAGAGGGTGGCGTCCTCCATATTCAACAACATCGCCAACATACCATGCAGGCGTAAATGCTATATCCGGGATTACCATGGTCGCTGCCGCCGTAACTTCTCCTGCCTCATGGGTTGAAGAAAAACATCTCATGTCTTTCCTACTTTTTCTTCTTCCTCACTTTCTTCATCTTTTTTACTATCTTTCTCTTCTTCACTATCTTCCTCTTGTGTTCACTTCTTCCTCTTCTTCACTATCTTCCTTTCTTCACTTTTTCTTATTCTGTATCATGTTCCTTTCTTTCTCATCTTCACATTGACTTTCTTTACATTCCTCTTCTTCATCAACCTTTACTTTAATTTCCTCATCATTATTATTTTCTTTACTTTCATTGACTATTAGTTTATCATCTTTAGTTTTCCCTACGTCGCTTTCCTTTTTATCACTTTGCCCTTCACCTTGTACTCTACATCTTTGTCACCTTCACCGGCATCTTCTCTGACGTCATCTTCGCCCTCTTACCTATACCACCTTTTCTTCCCTAAGCTATCAGAAAAAAAAATCACCATTCTGAAACTGTCCACTCATGGGATCGACACCTTGAAGCTCTCTCTCGGGACTTCAATACAGATCACTAGGCTGAAGTTATTCTCTTGGAACTTCATCACTCAGAACGTGCAAAAGTTCAACTCCTTGAATTTCATCGACCCTCGGAACTTCACCACTCAGAAGTTTACTTATTGAAGCTTCACCACACAGGTCATCACTGCTAATAGTAGATAAACATAACTGCTATTTTTTCTAAATCAATTCTTGTTATCTAAATTTGTTTAACTTGTGTCATTCTATGTAGATAATCATAATTGGTACCTTAGTTGAGTTAAGGTTAATGTATTTCAATAATAACAAGTCAGAATGAACACATTTTTAATTACATTACCCTTCAATATATTATTTTTCAGCAGTATTAAAAGCTCTACTAAATTCCTTGCCACATTACGAATGATCTGGAGAATACTTGTCCAAACCTAGCCCAATGTTATGATATCAGGACCTGTTCATCTTTGAGGATGCTAAACCAAACCCAACGTAACCTAATCTAATGCTATGGTAGCGGAATATCAATGACTTAAGTGTACATTTTACCTCACCTGATATTGGATTTGGGTTTATATTCAAATTCGATGGGAGGATAAGACTTAACTCCTTGGTTTTACAACAAATAATTTACAGATACAGAAAAAAATAATATAATTGTCATATTTAAGCTACCCCGAAAGAATTTGTATTAAAAAACAGTTTTCCCTCTTTGGTTTACTTTATTTTGTACAAGTTTGGATTTCTAGAAAAGAAAAGAAAAAAATGATAAAATAAAATTTTCTGAAAAATTGTAGTGTAAAAATAATCAATATATTATTGTCATTCTTAGCATAGTGAAAGGAGCCCAAAACCAGACAGGGGAACCCCCCCACCCCGAAAAAACGTTTAAATTATAGAGAAGGAAGATGTGGCTTATTATAAGAAGTTTGGGATCTTTCAGACAAATTCTAAATTGAATACAAATTATTTTTAAATTAAATTTTAAGACTTATAAGCTTAACACATACATGTGCATAACTTTTCTGTACAATACTTGTTCAGCATATAAAAAAAGCACTGATGTTAAAAATATGTGACATTAAAGGAATAAAATGTTGTTATAGGAGGCTTACCTTCACCTCAACCCCAATCCTCCCGAATCAATCTTTCTCAGAACAGAACTTATTTACCTTTTTACTTAATGGCCACCCATTAGAGGTGGCCATACTAAGGGAAGGAGGCCAGTGGCCTGTGTCGGATCTCTCCCTTGTTTTTGATAATTTTGTCAAGGGCTATTTTGAAGCCCAGTACTGTTCTTGATTCCACAGCTTGGGTTGGTAGACCATTCCATAGGTCTACCAGCCTCTGTCTGAAGAAGTATTTTCTTATATTCGTTCTGCATGGTAACTTGGCGAGCTTGTAATTATGTCCTTTCGTATTGGTGGTGGGTAACATCACAAAGTGATGTCCAGGGTTCATGTTTCCCATCCCTTTCAGGATTTTGAATGTTTCATTGAGATCTGCCATATTATGTCTTGTCTGAAGGGTTGTTAGTCATAAGGCCCTCGTCTGCTTGGATAATCGAGATGACATAGTTCCTGAATCATCTTAGGCGCTCTGTGTTGAACCTTTTCTAGGATGTTAGATCTTTCTGGTGGTAGGGTTCCCACGCCTGTATACGGTAATCCAGATTGGGACGTACTGTACTATACGTGAGATATCAGGATTAACTTTTAACTCGAGTTAAAGCCATATAGTAACAATATCCTATGACGTAAGCATTCCGGTCTTTATCAGTGTTTTGTACTGAACACGGAAAAAAAATTCATTTCATTCAGACAAGTGAACTCCTCGGTGCATTGTTAGCAGCATGTGAGAGAGTGTGAGGAAACGACGGAGGCCGGTGTGGGAGGAGGCAGTCGAGGACCAGCACTGGCAGCGGCTACAAGAAATTGACATTGATATTGAAACAGTTTATTTAGCCAGAAAAATACAGATACAGAGTGGATAATAAGAAACATATTGACATGGCTGCGACAAATAAGAGTCTGAACCATCTTAATGACACCTGATATATATATATATATATATATATATATATATATATATATATATATATATATATATATATATATATATATATATATATATATATATATATATACAGGGTGACGGTAAGTCTTCGTGCAGTTTAAGATATTAATAACTTAACTTTGGTTCTATAGGAGATAACAACAATCTGTAAAGTGCATTGGAGAGGGATGTTATTATGTTTTATCATCTTTAATCTAGGATTGCTAAGTTTCAGCGTATCCACCAGCATAGTACGATTTTGAAGTTTCACAAAAACGTTCTGCAGTTGTGTCTCAGTTATGGTTAGGTTATGTTAGGTTAAGACTTATAGCCAATATAGACGGGTATACCATCAGACCACCCAAAAATTCTAACTAAAAATCTGTCAAAGATTTTTGCCCCTACTGGGTGTAGTGAACGACAGAAAAAAGTCTACCAAGATCTGACCACCGGAAGTGGGTTAAAGCTGGGTCAGTTCCAAGGTGGCTGCCGCTGACCATGAAAATCAGGAAGGCGGCTGTAACTTCCTTAATATTAAGTGTAGAACAATAATTTTTGTATCTAACCTGGGGTTTTAAGGGTCAAGGATTCATTGGTGCCAAAAAAAATTAAGTCCCACTATTCAGACCCTTAAATCAAAGATTGCGGCCAACAATCATGAATGAAGGCACCATTACCAATAATTCCCATATTATTTCACCCGAAAAGCAGTTTTAGGTCCAAAGAATGCAAATATCCGTTTTTTAGAGTAAATTTTATTGATATGTTTCAGAATAATGTACATCAGAGTGTACACTGAAGGAGTCAGTGAAAAATCTTATACATACTAAGTGCAGTAGTAAAGGAAAATAGCTGTCACTTAAGCAGATTAGTTGTTGCTTGTTAGTTCCCCTTGAAAGGAATTCTTCCTGCTTCCCTTCAAATTCGATTTCACTGGTGAAGTTCACAACCGTATAATTGGTGGTTTGTTCCCGTCTCTGGTGTGCGTTATCCTTTATCGAGGGACCTGCCCCACACCCGTCAAACACAACAGTTGCTGCCCCATAGTGCTTACTTGTAGTGTCAGCGTATACCTTGGCTATTTTACCAAAGGTGTCTCCCCTCCTCCATTTCAGCTTGCGTAGTAAGGAGCCACCTTCAAGCACATATCTTTCAGTTTTCGGGATAGCATCTGATCTTGCTTCACTAGATGGTATCTTGTTATAATGGTCATCGATGGCTTGGGCTAGTTGAAGCTTGTCGGCCTTTCTCAAGATGTTTTTGTTCTCAAAAAGGGATGACGGGTATGGACTCAGCTCATATCTCATCACCCCCTCTAGAGACAGATGTCCTGTCCTGGACACTACAAGGAATCGCTGGAACAGTAGGCCAGGATCAATGGTTCTGCCAGGAGCATCCTTGACAGCAGATGAATTTTCCAGGGTCTTGGTTTTGTCTTTCCTCTTGAAAGGGAAGGAAAATGCAGGCTGTCCAATTACTCTGTCGATGATGTTCCTGCCAACGGATTTGTAGTCATGCACATTGACGTCTTCTTTCGCCACTATACCATTGATGATATTTCTCAATGAGGGGTCAGAGGAGAAAGGTGAAAATGAAATCAGCTTTTGTGCTTATCTTCGATAGGCCTGATGCGTCTCTTTCAATTCTGGCGTCAGTTGAATCTTTGTGTTGTTCACTTGTGGTGTACGTGAGATCACTGAACTCCTGCATGGCAGTGTTGAACTCAGACATTATGGGGGCTGACATTGTCCACAATGCTCGCTGTTCTTCCGTCATCTTACTGCCATGAGTCAAGCCACCTGTGGTTTTTAGTGACTTCATAAATGTTTTCTCGATGACTAGATCGCAACCGAGGCCTGCCCAAAACTGATTTGTTCGACGAATGACATGGAAGCCTTCTTTAAACTTCCTGTAGACATCTGGGGGTTTGCTCCCCAGTTCACTCTTTTCTTGGAAGTAGAGTTAGGCAGACTTCAGGAAGTTGTAGTATCCTACTGCAGCAAATATTGCTGCAGCAAGTGATTCAGCCAAGACCCAGTGCGATCTGCTTTGATCAGTGCTCGTGCAGTACGAAGCATCCACTGATATCCTAGCCACAACTTACTCGTTTTAGATTGAGCACTAAGTTCAGGTTTCTTCTTGTCAAGTTCCTCACTAATCCCAGCAACTGTAATGGATGCTACAAGACTTTCAAGAGTGGTGTCACCCTTCAACAAGGAAGAATACATTTTCTCGGTCTCCTCTATTCGTGAAGCAAATTCAGGATTTTCATCTACCGCAGATTCCACAATCATTTGGTGAAGACACTTGTCCACTAGAAGATGGCCACAGAATGCCCTTTGAACTGATTTATCTGTCATCATATGCGCTACAGCATTATCGCCGTAAGCCACTTCTGGAACGCTTTTAAGTCCTGTGCCCTCCACCAGTGTACCTATTGCTCCAAGCAGATTCATGAATGTGTGGAAATTACCAAGCATTAGAATGATCTCTTTTGAGTGACTACTCTGCGGTGCAGCACTCATGATCAAATGTTATTACTGCTGGTCAGGTTGCTGAGGAACTCCAATATGAACAGAATGCAAGTTTTGTCATCGGGATACATATCGATCATGGGCAAATACAGAATGGAGGACTGGCCGGGATGCGTATACCCTTGATGAATGATATGCATCATCCCCTGCCAATTTGGAGCTGGCTAATGAAGGAAAAATAATGAAGCAAAACCAGTGTCCTCTATCAAATCGTTTGGGAGTGTTGGCCGCCATATTGCCCACCATCTTGGATTTGAGGATTCGATGGACAATGACAGGTTGAAACAGGAAACACAGACAAGGGTTACCATTAATCAGATGAAGTTACTTATTTCATTTATATCTCATCAGTTCTACAATTATTTCATTATCAATCTAAATAGTATATTTTGCTGAATAAAGACAATGTGTTTATAATGTGTTTATCTAGCCCCGAAAAATCCTTATTACGTACTAAATGGAAAAAAAGAGGACATTGGATTGACCTCTAAATATGCTTTAAATGATCCAATTTTTTTCTGGGATGCATTTTGTACCTAATGGACAAAAATAAACCTTGTGGAGAAAACGTATACAAATATGTGATATTTTGGACCACCCTAATATATATATATATATATATATATAATCAATGACCTCACCAGCCACGACTCGAACCCTCGACCTAATGCATGGGACCAGGGAACGTTACCGGCCATACCACATGAGCACTAAAAGCAATTCTAGACTATGTGATATTTCACACAAAGCCTGTTCATCGAGCTCATGGCGCCGTGAACCTCTCATTGGGAACTGCCCGTGCTGCTTATGTGGATGTCAGTCGCATTTTACCGAATCCAGCTGGTATGAAACACGAGGTACCATGTATACTTCATTTTTAGTCCATATAACATGCGGACTTTGAACATTAGGTCGAGGGTTCGAGTCCTGGCTGGTGAGGTCGTTGATTATATGTTCAAAGTCCGCGTGTTATATGGACTAAAAATGAAATATATGTATATATATATACTGTATATATATATATATATATATATATATATATATATATATATATATATATATATATATATATATATATATATATATATATATATATATATATATATATATATTTTTTTTTCCATTTATATTATAATTATATACATATTTTTAGAGTAGAGTTGATACACAGTAATCTGATGAGTGACTGGAAGGGATACAATATGAGTGAAAGAAAGGGACAGATACAGTCAGGATCATGTCTTGACGCCAAATATATAATTATTGCAATGGTAATTTCTGTTACAAAAATAATAAATTTTGGATATCGATATCAATTAAGAGATGATTTAAAGGAAAGGAGCGTAGTCTTTGCTCTGATGGGTGCGTAGCTCTTATTCCCTCTTCTATTTGTTTTCTGGGATATACATTTCTTTACTGTTTACTCAAGGATTTCCATGAAGTGTTGCATTGATTCATCTGAGTCTGCCTCGTATCTAACGATTTCCTCCCAGTTAATTCTCTGTGGTTTGTTAAAGTCATTGTATTCCTCGTCAATTACTTTCCCTCGACTATCAAAGCTTGTAGTCCATCTTAGTATGCAGTGGTCGCTGGTTGGAGTTAGTTTCTCCCCGACGTGGACATCGTCCACCATAGCCTCCTCAGTCGTCAAGACTAAATCTTGAATGTTGTCTCCCCTCGTGGGTTCCGTGTTTCCGATGTAACGACCACGGTCGTACACGTCAGTTAACGCCAAAATCAAATGATTCATATTACGCTCAATAGCCCACAAAACATGTACCTCTGCTTTTAGTTTGAGTCCTCCATCTGAGGAGTCCGTTTTCTCATCACTTCAAGACGCCTCAGTCCCCTGTTATCCCATTTTCTCTGACTTACTGAAACCAACCTCTCTATAAAATGAATTTGAATGTGAGAGAGAACACCCTGGTTTAGAGTCAGCTTAGATATGTCGGTTTACAGTTGAAACATTCAAGATCCATTGTGAGTGGTGTTGAACGCTTCAACTGTCCTTATTGTTGGTAAGACGTGTCAAGTAAGTGAGTGTTGAGTCTGCCAGGACAAACGATACCCATCGGTTTCGTTCCCTGAGAATATCCATGAGCTTCTGATCGCGCCTGAAGTTAGATCATTTTGTCGCCCCGACATCAGAGAATCTGATGTTTATAGTTTAATTAGTGTCAGTTATCTATTTAAGAAAGTCATTAATTTCCTGAACTATTCTGTCAACTGGTATAATCTCCAAGATCTAACGTCTCCCTGTGAATAGTTCCTTGTTCGCGGCAGGCCTGAGCTTGCAGAATTGTTGTTATCAACGTGTATATTCCACCTTTTCCTGGCAAGCTCAACCTCTGATTAGATTATATGAATAGACATAGGAAATTACCCTGATCCGGAACACCGGAGTTCATAATTAAATATACGGTGATCCAACATGGTAGAGAAGGTATGTTGTTGGTAAGATTGACCTTTCTGGCATGAATATGGAGGCCCAAGCTGCCCAGCGGGGGCACGTATATACCTCTACACGAGGGAGAATCACGCATTCGTGACTCTTCTTCCACGTCTACAGGTATGTTCACGTGTGTTCCACGCCGCCATATTAACTCAGTTTAACTTAGTCATTTTTGCGAATATCAGTGTTCATGTTTCAACATAGTACCTTCAGTGCCAATTAAGTCAAGTAAAGTAGAGCTCTAGATTTTGCCAAGGCTTTCGACAGTGTACCCCACGAAAGGCTGAAAATCAAACTGGAAGGGTACGGAATTCGGGGAAATGTCCTAGCGTGGATAGAAGACTTTCTACATGACCGCAAGCAATGTGTGGTGATTAATGGCACGAAATCGTCATCTGTACCTGTAACAAGTGGGGTACCGCAGGGTAGTGTATTGGGCCCGCTGTTGTTTGTTTGTTTCGCGCAACATATGCCCTGACGTTGCGCCACCGATGTACCGCTGCCGATGAGCTGCCGCAGCTTCGGGAAATTAAGAACCAAGCGGGATCCGTAAAGAGCCGCAGCGACCCCCGGCCCAGAATGTCGAAGAACGGCCGCGAGATTCAATGTCACGAAGTGTAAGAGGATGCACTTGGGCGCACCAACGTAAGGAGGCGTACCGCAGTCCTGCCCACAAGAAAACGTACTGAGCGACCGTGTATAAATAACTGCGGGGGCGTTGACAATGATGGAAGTTCCCGGGCCATTGTGAGAAGAAGGTAAACTGCGCAAAGAAATGCATGGGCCTTATAAGGCTGGGTTGCTCGATGATTCAGATGGTCCGGCCCCGTGACGACTTCAGAGTGAAGTGCTTCCCCATCTGGAGGCCGGTCACCAACGTCCCCGGTGATGCTGAACTGCCAGTTGGTTGAAAATGTTCAAAGGAGGGCCACGCTTAAAGCCTGCACTCTCACCTCAGCTACCCTGAGAGATTGGATGCCCAGAACCCTGCCTGTTTATACCACAGAGGGGCAAGGGGACCTAGAAGTTGAGGTTTATAAGCAATTCAGGGCAATTACTCAGTTGAGTGTCCTTACTTGAGCTGGCGGACTGCCCCACAAGGGGTCAAGCAGCTCAAGATTGAAGAAGCTGCAAGTCCGGAAACCGTGAGGGCAAACTTTTCGGAGGAGGGTTGTAAACTCTTGGAACAATCTACCAGAGAGGTTGTGACGGCACCGAGTGTGAGCTCTTCGCAGAAGACTTGACCAACACTGGAGCGGGTTCAGGTACACCAGGAGCCCGGTGCATGCCCAGTACGCCAACAACAGTGCGTGACAGAGACGTGACTATCGCTCCGGGCGCTAGTTGTTTCACCTTTGGTGAAGAATATAAAGCGAAAAGAGTCGTGACCGATCGCCCGGCGGCTAACAAGCTCGACTGTAGTGGCGGCATATGCTTACTCGCCCAAACCTGGTGCCAGACGTATGCCGGTATAGAAGTTAAAGGATCACGCATTCGTGACTCTTCTTCACATTCTACAGACGCTGATGTTAGCCACTTCCCAAAGGTCGATAGCTACCTATGGGCATCACGGGGAAGACTGTCTCTTGGCGGCATTTAGGAACTTGCGTGACACGATTCCCCGGGAAGCGCCCCCACCACTCTGCCAGTGTGTAACGAGTCAACCTCCTGGAGGCAATCAGCGAGCGAGCCTTCTCAGCCGGCAGGTCGCTACAAACAACCTGGCCCAATTAATTCGGTCATATGATCACCTACCACCTGCCAGGCGTATGGTCGTATTAATATCCACATGCTGTAATTTGACCCAGCAGAAATATAATGGGTCCCAGGTTAAGTATATTGAAACTCACTTGGGAATGAGAGTTCAAGGTACCAGGCTAATTCCTTGCAAACTAACAGGAGTACGTTACATGTAACGGTGTTAGTCCTAATGTTGCGTATTCAACCGGCAACGCAGCAATAACCTGAGAGTATATGCCCAAACGAATTATACAATATTCTGTTAAAGTAAGACCTGTGGGTCCAGGGTTATTGACAGTGTGTAAGACAAATCGTAATGTCGCAAAATACTACAACAGCATCCAGCGAAAGTAATTTACTATTTGGAGGTGTTTAATGAGGTAATAAGTTCTTGAAGTGTTTAGCCTGAGTGAAGATGCATCTTCTCCATCACCGTATTAATATTGAGTTAGTAATCTGAGCGGTCACCACTCTACCCTTCTAAACATTGGTTCCCAGAAATAATATTTAATTACGCCGCGAATCTACCACACGAACGTAAAACCCTTTCCAAGTATTCGCTACAGAATGAAAAGTTCGCAAGGCATACCCTTGTAAGTATAAAAGTGTTATAGCAAAGAATAATATGACCCCCAGACTAACCTAAGGAAGAAAAGACATAAAACAAAGTATATTACCAGAAAGGTAAGAACGAAACCTATAACAAATCATGCAGCAGCCTTAAGTGAGTACCTAATTTGGAAACATAAGTAGAGAAGCATAAAGAGTTACCATGGCGTATGTTCATGGCGCGAATGTGCGTAATTACATAAGAATATAAAGTGGCTAACACAGGCACAAACATATGTAAAAGAATGGAAGGAGAATACATTAAACAGGGTAATACTCATTGGAGTAACACAAATGAACAAATAAACAGAAAACAGTAGCTGGATGGTAAATTATTGAAAAGAGAAAACTCGGCCCGTTACACCGACACGCGTTGTGTGAAGAATGAGTCTTGAATGAGATCAAGGAATTTTTCTCCCTCGGTTTGTGTGTTAAGATTCACCTAGTCTATTGTCTCATGATTAAAGTCTCCCATGATGAGGACTTGTGATCTGGTTGCAGACTGGATCACTCTAGGGAGATCTGCCACTTCCTCCCCCGAAGCTGAGTCAGACCTATAATACACACCTACTGCCTGCTTGCTTTTGTTTTGAGCTATTAAATCACACCAAATGGATTCGGAAGATCCTTTGATAATGATGCTGAAAATGCTAAGAGTTACATTACAAAGATATCTAGGAAAAAATAGCTACAAAGACGGTATAGAGTAAAAGCGTTAGCCAGGTAAGATAGAGAGGAGGGTGAAGAAAGAGGTGGAGGTTGGAGGGAAGCGGAGATAAGACTGAAGGCCTGTAGGGAAGTAAAAGGAGGAATGGAGGAGTGAAGGTCGAGATGGAGGTACTGTAGAGATTGAACTTGAGGTGAAGAGCGCGGTAGAGAGAGGAGTAGGGTCCGGGAAGGAGGAGGAAATAGGACTCTGGAGGCCAATCGAAAGGAGGAAACATGAGTGTTGGTCACCAAGGAGGTATAGAAAGAGGAGTGGAGGGTGAAAGTGAGGTGTAAGAAGGGTACGTGTGGGAGCAGGAAAGATGACACATTGACACAGTTCAGATCTCCATCCCTCGGCCCGGTCACCCGGTGTTCCTCGTCACGGAGATAAAAGTATGAGATTGGCGAAGAAAAAGGAGAAAGAATGAACTCGAAAGAAAACAAATTAGCATGAAAGGAGAAAAAAATCAACATGAAAGAAGAAATTATTCACATGATAGAAAAAACTAAACACGGAAGGGAAAATTAACAAGAAAACAGAGAAAACTAAAGCAAAAGAGGATACTTACTGCGAGAAGGACGCAAAAGGATGAGAGACGAAGAAAAGAGAATAATGAAATAAATGTGAAGGAAAATAATAATATGAAAGTAAAAAAGATGGTAAGATATAAAGCTGTTGATAAATACGAGGAAAAGGAGAGAGGATCAAAGGAGAAAACAAATAAATAACAAGAAAGTGGGAAATAGGATAATTAAAAAAAATAGGGGAAGTGAACAGAGAAATTAGGAAACTGACATTAAATAGACCAAGTAACAGTAGTTTTAAAAGAAGTTTCCCTGACGAAGGAATAGTAGGACAAAAAGTAAACTTGTAATTGACGGAAGATTCAGTGTTTCTTGGTGACTTGTGTTCCTCTTATGAGGCGCTGGTGGAGATATTTAGTAGATAGATAAATAGATAGATAGATAGATAGACAGATAGATAGATAGATAGATAGATAGATATTACTTCAGAAAAACTATGTCATGTTCATACTGGTTCATCATGTACACTCTGTAAAAAAACTACCGTACTGGTGGGATCCAATGAAATTTTTCCAACTGGTCTTTCCCGTTGTCTCGCAAGGGTTGGTAGGCCTGAATGAGAGACATTTCTTACTTACTTTTACTTTTACTTTACTTTTATCCTCTTCGCCACTGATCGGCTTGTTAGCCGCTTGGGCGATCGGTCACGTCTCTTTTCATTTATATTCTTCACCAAAAGACCGGCCTGCTAGCCGCCCGGGCGATCGGTCACGTCTCTGCCACGCACTGTTGGCAAATACTGGGCATGCACCGGCTCAATTTGCTCGGCCGAAATCAGCTATTTCATTCAATTACTTTGTTACAACATGACTGGAGAATGTCAGTATATCTAGATAAGTTAAACTGTGTTATATTAAATGTTCCACACACCGTGGACTACAGTAACCATGGAAGTGGATGAGTTGCCATATAGGAATGCATTATATCTTTGGCAAAATTAGTGGATATAGTAAAGGTGTAAGATTATTTGGCAACCGAATTTCGAATCTGTATTTCTATTGCTACTTCACTTTGGGCTAATGCCACAGTATGTCATTCTTTATTCGTATTGAAAAATATACCATGCTGTTCCGAAACATCTGAATAGCTCCACAGTTTCGCATGCCGTCATAAAGGAGCCCGGCCCAACGACGTTTTACAATGCGGTCGATAATTCCGGGAAGTCTACTACTGGGTTTCGTTTCAGAGTGCCGATCACTTGTTTCGAGCACGTGTGGCCGAACCCATACACACGCAGGGCTACCAATGCCAGGAATGCCTCAGGGGTCTTTATGAAACATTTCGTTTGTAGTGTCAGTTTGTTTCGCGCAGGAATTGTACCGGTAGTTTTTTACCGAGTATACACAAACAATACAGGTATACATTGCACAGAGACTGTAGGTATATAAATAATATCCATAGACAATACATGTATACAAACATTGTGTGCACGTAAGCTGTGCAGGTATACGAATAATGTAAATAAACAGTACATAGCCAATGCTGGTGTTTCGGTTACAGTTGTACATCTAGTATATTAACACCCACACTTATTCATATTATGCTTCATCGGCCATAAAACATGTGTGAAACTAGTGAGTTACCCCAGGAGAGACTTGTTTTCTCTAGTGACAGGTCCCATCCATTTTCTATTATATCCTAAACTGTTGTGTTATATACAGTATATATATATATATATATATATATATATATATATATATATATATATATATATATATATATATATATATATATATATATATATATATATATATATATATCTTGATAAAATCACAGTGACCCATTGGAATTTTTAGACAAGCTTAATAATATTGTCCCTAGTATCACATTCAAAATTGAAAGAGAAATTAATGAATCCCTTCCATTTCTTGATATGCTTATCATGAGAAATGGCCAAAACTATAAATTTAAGGTATATAGAAAGCCCACACAGGTAGACAGTTTCATTCACTTTTTATCGAATCACCTTGAGTCTACCAAAATGTCAGTTTTTTCTGTTATGTTCTTAAGATGTCTGCGTATTTGTGACTCTGAATTTATTGACGATGAATTGAAACACATTCGTTCTATTGCATATAAACTTGGGTACCCTTCTGTGTCTGTTGATCGTTGTTTTAAAAGGGCTAAAAAATCCTTTCATTCCTCTCAAACCAGACAAGTTCCTACACTTAAGAATATTTTGACTCTGCCCTATCGTAATGAATTTGTCCCGTTAGTTCGGTCCCTCAAGCTTCTAAATATTAATGTTGTTTTCAAGTAT